TTTGTTCAAAAGCATATGTGTACACATTTGTGCAGCCATGCTTAGAACAAAGACTGGAAGCATATACATGGTTACCTCATTTTGTGTTTTACTCTCAATTGTTCTCTACTATCTACTACTCCTTTAAAGGGAAAAAAGTGTGCCTTTAAGATAAAAGCAATATAGCTAGATGTGCAACACAGAGACAGAAGACTTCCTGAAGTCTTACAGAATTTAGGAGAAAGAAGAAAAAATAGGACTCAAATAGACCGCCAAGCATCTCTCTTTGGAGATAATAAAAATATAGAGACGATGTGTGGCCTGCAAGGCTACCCAGGTTGTTTGTGGCTGGGCTAGGACAGACCTGAGGTCTCCAGGCTTTTGGGTCAAAGGGCTTTGAAGTGCTCTGCGCTGGCCAGGGACCTGCCTCCCTTCCTTCCCATCCTGTGAGGGTGACAGAAAGAGCACAGGAAGTGCAGTGATTGGGAGGGTGGAGAGGATATTCTAGCCTCTACAGAGGCTACTTCGCCGTTCTCATTCTTCTCTCTTTGGGAGTTAGTAGGTCATTTGCAAAAGGCATGGGAAGAGCAGCTGATGAAAAGACCTACTAGTTTGGAAAACTGCTTAACCTTATTGCTCTATTTCTGGATGTTCCTCCATGGCCAAGGACTGTTCAGATCCTGATTTCCCCGGGAGGCTTCCCATTTGGGAATGCAGTGAAACCTCGGAAATGCAGAGGAATTGGCGAGAAGGCCAGCTGGAATTAGGAAGCAGTCTGAATACTTTTTAAGGACACTCAGGTCTATTGCTTTAAAGGACCTGGGATCATAGATTTGGAACAAGACTAATACAGCCTCCTGCTCAGCTCAGGAGCTCAGTGCTTCACTCTGCACCAGGCTTCATCTGGCTTCTCCTGAATGCTGCCATAGACAAGATGCTTAGTATTCTGAAAACCTGTCACTCTTAGCAAAGGCTTCCTTCACCCGAGCTGGAATCTGCCTTCCTATAAGTTCTGCTTGTTCTCCATTATTAGTGGACAGCGGGTATTCTGTTTCCCCCAGATGGTCCTCAAATATTTGAAAGCTGGTGTCATGCACCAGGTAGCCCCTCACAGCATCATGTTCTGCAGGCTAGCCACTTCCAGAGTATTTAGACTTTGCTTATACGACACATGTCATCAGCTCTAATTAGAAACATAAATGGCTAGCTCTAATCAGCCTCCAGATTACGATGTAAATCCAGAGCTGAGCTGAGTTTAGACATCAGTTGCGCTAGCCTTGTTATTTCACAGATGTGCAACCTGAGGTCCACTGAGCAAAACCTCATCACCCAGCTTCAGAGAGCTTGAGAAAGGGAATGAGGGAAGGAGAGACCTGAACCCTAGCTGTGTGACTCTCCCTCTGCCTCTTATTATTCATAAAATGCCAGCATTTCTCAGGCTCTTAAACGTGCTTGGAAAATTTGTTCTCTTAGGCATTTCAAAACTTCCTCTTTCAAATTGTGTTTGTGCCATCAGTGAAGAAGGAATCAGCACAGAACTGAACTCAGTAGAGGCTGTACTGTCCATAGAAGTATGGCTCAAAGTGCACTAATCTTCTTTACTGTCAGAAATTCATCTGCTTTGCCCTAATTCGCTACACCCGAATGGACACCGTACATCTAGGGGCACCCAAACCTGCCACATTTCCACAAGATTCAGCTACCCCACTCAGGTCAGGGGATCTTCCCAACTTTGGCCCTGAGAATGCGTTAGCCAGGATGTGCAGTGCTGTGTCTCTGCTGTACCCTGCTGTGCTCACTGTACAGTTTCCTATCTTCTTTTCCATTTGGCCTGATTCTCCCGTGAAAAGATGAAGCAAAGACACAGAGAAGCAAAGGAGGCACTGCAGTGATTGGGTCCTGTCCAGGACCCCAGCAACCCTCAGTCACATGCTGTGAAGGGAACATTCCTCCCTGCCCTGACCCGCAGCATTCTCCCCTTCTCTCAACAAGGTATTGCATTTCCAGTCCTTACACTTGTCCTGGCACACAGCAGAGGCTGCCTCATGCTGCTTCCTGGTGTGCACGGGGGCATGGTTCCGTGGACACTGGGATCATATTGATGTGTGTGCTAGACCTGACTCTGCAACGAGCCGAGTTGAGTCGTGTGGCTTCGGCGAGTTATTTAATCTTTCGGAATCTCGGTTCCGTCATTTGTTAGATGAGGACAATTATGCTGCCTACATCATAAGCTTGTGAAGATGACATAATGCCTAACAGGTGCCTAGCGCAGTCCTTACCATTTCATAAGATTCCATAAAAGGCGTCTGTTTAGTGTTATTAAGGTTATATTCCATATAAACAACTTGTTCATGCTGCATGCAGCAAATACTTAATAAATCTGAAGGTACTTTAAACAGTGCATGGAAAATGGAATTGAAAGATAAGTTTATATGAGTGCCAAAAAAATTGAAACTCATGCACAGTCATACCCCGAATTGATTCTGGCTTAGGCTGTGTTTGGTGGTGGGTTCAGAATCGGAAAACTTTTAAGCACCTTGGAAGAGCAGTCCCTGCTCCCAAACTCTCTATCCCCCAGATTCCTTCCTCTAGTAATTATCTCAGCGGGAGGCCCATGCTGTCCTTCCATGGTTCACACCTGTCAGCTTGCATCTCAGGATAAAGTTCTCATTTGACAGACTCTGAGAACTTGCTGTCCAGGCAAAGAAAACTCTGGTGATGAATCCAACACAAACCTTATGTAACCAGCACGTCGGCAAACAGAGGGACAGAGAGACGCAGGGAAACAAAGCCACACAAAAGGAGAGGAAAGCCAGGGATTGAGATATGCCCAGAACGCCAAGGTCCCTGAAGTTCATCAAAGTTCTTGTATTTATCGTGCGCCTAACAGACTAAAAGAACGCTGTACTTTTAAATCAAATGATGTTGATGCTCCTTTATCCAAAGAACAGACGTATTATTGACACAGTTTACTGGTAATACTTATGAATACTTTATACTTATATATAGTGACATAGGACTTACACATGATGTCAGACTGGTTTGCAACTCTGTGTTTGAAATAAGACCTGGGAAACTTCTACCTGGGATAAAGTCTGGAATTCCTGACAGATCACAAAGAGTTAAGGAATCTCCTGGCTTCCTTGAATGCGGAGAATGTCCTAGTGGATTCTTGGAGTGAAATGAACAGTTCTTTCCCTCGTCCCTCTTGCAGATTACTTATTTATTCCCCGAATTTTGTGTTAACGACTCAAAGGAAATAAAAACATCTGCTGAAATGAAGTTGTTATATTACAGCCCAGGACAAGCTTCCGCAGCTGAGGGTAAGGACAGAACCCAGTGACAGTGCGGCTGCCAGGGGACCACAGCTCGTGGCAGGGCAGTCTGGCTAGCTGCTCTGCCATCCTGGCTGCTTACCTTGGGCAGGTCATTCCCTGGCTTGTGGTCTTTTCAGGTCTCTTTTCTATTGCCCCTGTGAGGTTACAGAAGCATGCAGATAGCAGGAGAAGCCCAGGGCAGGACAGCATGAGAACAGGTATGAGAACGCTAGGAGAAAGTAAAAATGCTAAAGGCACATGCTCTCCGATTCCAGAGACACTCCTGGCACTCTCCCGGGAGCTCAGTGCTTGCCCAGATACCCCCTCAGCGAGCTGACAGGAAGCAGTGAAGGCCAGTGCTTTTCTGGTTGGGGACCTTGGCTGGGACAGAAGGGAAGAGAGAAGTTGAGTCAGCCACATGAGCCAGTGAAATGGCAATGACCCCTGTATGCAGATCCTCCACAGCCTGGCGTTGCCAAGGAGGGCGATCCACTCCATCAAACCTGGGCCAAGCTCTGGCTCAGAACACACAGGCAAAAATAGAAAGGGGCTGCGAGAAGAAATGTGTTTACTTTTGTGATTCCACCCCCTGCACCTCTTAACAGTAGTATAATCTCTCTAGAAACAGAAAGTAACGGCCCACAGGCCTCGCCTCCATTGATAAACCCTCCCAAACAACCCATATACAGACTGAAAGCCTTCTTCAAGTCTCCTGGTCACTTTCTGGGCAGCTGGAGAGCAGGTTCACAGGGATAGCAGCACACAGGGAGAGTGTACTGGCCTGGGGTCTGTCTCTAAAAGGCCCCTCTCTGTGGCTCTGCAAGATAAAGCGTTTGCACAAAGCGGAATCCAAATACGCATTTAGATTTTAAAGTTTGCCTCCACGGCTCTCTCCCAGGTCTGATATTGTCCTTCAACAGGTATTTGAAAGTGCTGGAGATTTTTTTTTGTCATGACTCGGGGGTGCTATTGGCATCCCATGGGCAGAAGCTAGGGATGTTGCTCCACATTCAATGATGCATGGCATAATCCCACAACAGGCACTCTCAAGGCTGATAATGCTGAGGGTGCCGAGGAGAGCCAGTGGGAGAGGGAAGAAGAGGCAAAAGTAAAGAAGAAGGGTTAAAACCCTGTTTCTAGGCCATTAAGTAGTCATCAGTCACGTGCTTTCCAGCTTCTCTCCCTAGGACCAATGTCATTTTATTTTCCCTTGGAATCACGTTTGGGTAGCTTTCTCGCAAGAACATCTTCCTTATCCTTAAAATGCAAAGCCCTGATGCAATACAAAGAGCTCTACCCGAAGACACAGCTGAGATATTAAAAAAAAGAGTTCTTAAATGAGTAGGACTGGGAGGTGGGGGCGGGGGGAAGGGGGTGGCAGGTAAAGGGACAAACTGTATGCCCAGAGCTCTGTTTCTGTGAGTCAGTGTTTCTGAGGTCACAGAACAGAATAACACCCGAGGGCAGACTGAGCTATGCTGAGAACAGGCAGAACCGATGTGGGTCACAAGGGTTAGGAGAGATACAGGTTTGCCACAGCAGAGTCAGAGGCGAACGAAAGGGTTAAGCAATCAGTGCGTGTCATTCTTGTATCATTCCACATTAAGCCGCCAGGCAGTTATGACAAATAGTTACCTGCGGTTTCCAGTGGGAGAGGCAAGGACACTCCAGTCAAGGGGCTTTGGAGAAACAGGTGCAATGAAGTCATGGTCAAACAATTTATTTACTGTAAACTTTAGACTTTGCTCAGGAAAACAAGTGAAGCTGCCCCCTCGAATCCCTGCCTACAACACCCGGTCCGAGCAAACAGGAGGAGCTGGGAAGAGTCCACGTTCACAGCTGAGAGGTCCGGGATACTCAAGATCCTCAAGTCCAAGGGTGCAGGAAGGAAAAATCTCCTTCAGGTACAAATTACCAGCAGCAATATATTACCCCTAATACTTGACCACTGAGGTAGATACACGGAGAAGTCATCAAAACGTAGCAGACCCAGGTCCTCTAGGACTCAAGCCCTTCGGACATAAACTTAGGCGTTCCATGCAAAAGAGGAACTGAACTGTACAAGAAACAAATAATCACTCAAATACATCTTCTCTCTTTTTTTTTTACAGGTTAAAAAAGATTAAAAAAAAAAGGCAGAAGGCTGCCTTCCTTCTGCGTTTCTCTATACAGTTTTATTCTAAATGTGTTACACTCAAGTTAAATAGTCTGTTTAGTGTTCTGTTGGGGGAGGGGTCCTTAAAAAGTAGAAAAACTGCATTACAGCAGTGAGTCATTTGTCCTACAGTTCCTGCCGGGGGGATCAATGCTATCGTTAGGCACGGTACCTTGACAGTTCACAAAGTCTTCCATGCCCGGGGGGTCCTCACACAGCAGCTCGCTTTCTTTCTCTTGCTCCAGGTGATAGCTACTCTGCTCCCCTGTGTACTCAGTTTTGCCAGTGCTGTTGCTGGAGTAGCCATTCCCGTAGGCCTTCAAAGAAGACCTGCGCAAGCACAGAAGCTCCTGGAAGGCAATCCTGAAGTCTGGGCTCCGGCAGTAGATGAGCGGGTTGAAAGCAGAGTTGACATAGCCCACCCAGTTGAGGAGGATGTAAACTTCCTTCGGGATGAGGTTGTCCTGGATCACGTGCACGATGTTGACGATGAAGAAGGGCAGCCAGCAGAGGGTGAATGTGCCCATGATGATGCCTAACGTCTTGAGGGCTTTGTGTTCCTTCAAGCAGAACTTGGAGGACCTGCGAAGTCCATGTCCATGCCCGCTTCGCCCATCCTGCTCCACCTGGCTGAGGTTTTGGGCATGGAACCGGCCCTCTGATTTGTCAATCTTCTGGAGCTGCTTTTTGGCCACCTGGAAGACCCTGGAGTAGACGAAGACCATGACCACCAGGGGCAAGTAGAACGACACGATGGAGGAGGCAATGGCATAGGCTTGGTTCGTGAAGAAGTCACAGCAGGTCTCCTTGGCGTAGCAGTTGATGGCTTCCTGATGGGTGGCCCTGTACCAGTGCATCTGGATGGGCAGAAAGGAGGTAAGGCCCGACACGATCCACACCATCAGAATGACCACGCGCGCCTTATTCTTGGTCAGCAGGCTTTGGTACTTGAAGGGTGAGGTGATGGCGAAATAGCGATCCACTGCGATCACGCACAGGGTCTCAATGCTGGCAGTGACGCACAGCACATCAATGGAAGTCCAAAACTCGCACCAGAAGTTACCAAAAGTCCACATTTTCATGAGAATGTGGCTCGCCCCAAAGGGTACCACCGCTAAACCCATAACCAGGTCAGCACACGCCAGTGAGGTGATGAAGTAATTTGTGACCGTCTGTAGACGTTCAAACTTGGCAATGGCTGTGATAACCAGAACGTTGCCAAACACGATGGCCAGAACAATCAGAGACATGACGATGGCCAGACCCACCACCCACGCCTCGTCTGTTTCCTGCGAGATGTCGTGGTCCGGCGCGTGACTTCCATTGGGCGCTAGCAAGAAATCGCTGCCGTTCCCGGGTTGCCCCATGGCTCGCAGGCGGGCAGGTGAGCGCCCGGGGGCGGCTGGCGGCACAGTGGCCCCGCCTCAGCGTGCGCACCTCCGGAGGGGCGCTGCGGACCGCGAGCGGACTCCTGGAAGCTTCATTCAGCGGCCGTAGTTGGATGCGGAGGGTCGCGTGGGTCGCGTCCGGCGCACTCAGCTTGTGGGTTGCTCTGAGCCCTCCGTGCCCGCCAGCTCCAGCCTGCACTTCAGAGAAGCCGCCTCAGAGTGCGTTCTGCCCGTTATGTGCTCAGGACTTCGGGGCCACTGCCTCCCAGTGACGTGAGGCAACTTTCGGCCAATGGCGTGCCCGCAGCCCCGAAGGGGCGAGGCACCTCTCCCCTTCGCTTCCCTCCCCTTGCCCGCCCTCTCCTGGGGCTGGCCCGGGTGGCAGGCGGGCCACCACTCCCGGGCTGGCTCCTGAGTGCTAAAGCGGGGGCTGCGGGCTCAGCAGCGAACCAGCGAACTGAGCTCCTCTCCCTCCGGCTGCTACCTGTCTGCCCTGGGCGCTTGTGCGCATAATGGCGCTCGCGACATTTGGAAACAGGGACCAGAGTGCCATCAGAACTTGTACATACAAGCACGATGCACCCCTACGGACATGCTCAGACTTATCTGGAACTCAGGGAGACACGACACACCCACCCAGAGCACCAACATGCCTCTCGCGCGCGCTCACACACCCACCCAGCGCACCAACAAGCCTCGCGCGCGCTCACACGCAACCCACAAGCACTGTTGCCGGCAGTCACGGCTCACACGCGGTCAGAGTCAGACATAGAAGCAGCCAAGGGCACAAAGGCACGGACAGGCACACGGAAAGAAGTAAACACACTCTACGCACATAGAGGTGCGTGCGCGCTGGGACTTGGGAGCGCACAGAGCCACAGAGGCACGCCACCCTGTGCGGGTACCCACAGCTCTTCTGGCTCAAGCCCTCAATTGCCACACACCCCCGTGCTCCACCTCTCCCCACCCCGTCACCCTTTCAAACATTTGGCAAGATCACAGGAGATGACTTAAACAGCTGCCGATTCCCTCAGCACGGTCCCTGTCAGTTACTTTGAATGCTCTCCTCGGGAAGGCGGAGAGTTGGGAAGGTTTTACTCTGCGTTTCACTGCAGCTTGGCTGTGTATGGACCTAGCTTGTGATGGCGGAGAAAGTTGCGTGGTTTTGTTGCTGATTGTTGAGAGTGTAGCAGCCCCCCTTTTGTCATCTGTTGGAATGGAGATGCACTGAAAATGAAACAGATTTCCTTTCAAATGTAATGCCTTTGATAACCCCATGGCAACTGGAAAAAAAGCAATCTTTTCAGAGGCTAGATAATTTGTATCTGTTGGATTGAACCATATGAAGTTGCCTTGGTTGGTTGCCTCTGATTTACAAGAGTGGGCATTTCATACAGTTTGTAACATTATGACTGTACTAACTTTAAGAACGTTTTGAAACTGTGGAAAGATGATTTTTCCAAAAAAAAGTCAAACCAAGCCTTGAAACTAAATGTCTTTGTTCATGAAATATTACCCTTTGCATCTGGCATATGACTTTATTGTTAAAAAGAAATTTAATTTTCAGGGTTTGGTTTCATATGTACCAGTGAGGCCTTTGAACAACTGAAAGTGCTTTGTGCAGCGTAACCAAACATATTTTGTAGGTTACATAATACTGTAACAATGGCCAACATTTATAGGACGTTCTGCTATGTGCTTTTCATGCATTATTCCATGTAATCCTTCCCACAGTCCCATGGGACAGGGTGTGGGGTGTGTGTGTGTGTGTGTGTGTGACTATTTTTAGCTTAATTCACAAATGGGGCTCTAAGAGGAAAATAGGTTGCCTGGGGGCTATGATGAAGCAGTGCCAGAAGTTGGATTTGAACCCAAGTCTACCGGACTTTAAGGCCTTTCTTTTAATCTTGTCAATGTGCCCTCGTATTACAGTCAGAGCAGAGTGGAGGCGACGGAAGAGGCACCATAACTGGAGCCGAGCACCCAGGCTCCACAGCCATCTGATGTGGAACTTTCTAGTGTACTTTCCTTAGGCAAATCATAAAGAAGAAACCTGATTTCTTCCATCTTTAAGGGAGGAATATAGTCACTTCTCCTGGAATGAGAATTAGTGATCCAATATATTGCACATATAAATGTCATACTCATATGGGCAGTCAGCAAAGTTTATACAAATTACTTAGTCATTTAGAATGTGTTGCTAGTATCGTCTGCCAGAACAAGACACTGCTTTAGGACAAAACCAAGTTTTGTCTTTACTCCAGAAGAAAAACTCTGCAACAAAATATAACCCACGTGTCCTTTTAACCTCCTTCAGCAGGAGAAATTGTCTTTTTGCAAGACAGATGCCTTTAAGAGCAAATATTTCCCTTATAATCCACGAATATTAATTAAGGTTCCATTATGTTCACCTGGTTTGCAAAGTATAGACGCCCTATGTTTGTATTTTCCAAAATCGGCTCTGGTGTGATGCATTTTAGGAAGAGGCAGTGTCTGTTACGCAACAGTGCTTCTTTAAATACATGGCCACCACGAATGGTCCTTCCTGTTTGTGAAGTTATGGAATAAGTAAGCAAATTGTTTAAGCTTCCCATGGCCAATAGAGAACAAAGAAAACCTCTTTAGGATAAACATTAATTGATCCTTTGTTTACATAAGTTCAAGTCACCTACAAATTCGAGTATTTTGGGAAACATCTTTATAAAAGCACACACGAAAATTCTGGACTTAAGCCTACCAACCTTGACCAACAGGAAATCAATCTCTCTCCCTCTCGCTCATTCCCCATCTCTTCTCTGTTTCATCATCAAGCAGGTAGGAACTTCAGGATGTTGTTTTCTTTCCAAGAGACTTGTGTCCTGATCTTGTTTTAGAATTTCAGAATTAGGCCGGCACCACGGCTCACTAGGCTAATCCTCCACCTTGTGGCGACGGCGCACCGGGTTCTAGTCCCGGTCGGGGCACCGGATTCTGTCCCGGTTGCCCCTCTTCCAGGCCAGCTCTCTGCTGTGGCCCGGGAGTGCAGTGGAGGATGGCCCAAGTACTGGGGCCCTGAACCCCATGGGAGACCAGGAGAAGTACCTGGCTCCTGCCATCAGATCAGCGCAGTGCCGGCCGTAGTGGCCATTTGGGGGGTGAACCAATGGAAAAAGGAAGACCTTTCTCTCTGTCTCTCTCTCTCACTGTCCACTCTGCCTGTCAAAAAATTAAAATAAATAAATAAATGTCTATTAAAAAAAAGAATTTCAGAATTAGAGAAAGCTAGAATAGGAGAGAATAGAATGGATTGCTTAGTTTATTTCCCTCCATTTGCAAAAGAGGAAGCTGAAGTGAAGAATTGAGAAGCATCTGGTTCAGGGTGGTAGGGTGATGAGGAGTCCAGGTCTGCGCTGGACCTGTTCCCACTGCCCAGCTCTGCTGTTGCTTGTTGTGCCTGTGGCCTGTTAATGCTCCATCAGAACTGGGAGTTCTTAGTAGACTAAGTGCACTTTTATCCGATGTGAGAAAAAGCAGGCTCTTCTTTTAATGGTGATTGTTAGTGTCTACTTACATATTTTGTCAATCCCTTAAAACACAGATTTGTCACTTCCTGCTGCAGAGCAGGCCAAAAAAATTTTTTTTTACATTTTGATTTACCTAAGGGATATTTGAATAGGTGTAAGATTTCTAAAATATCAGGGAATATCCTCTCAGCACGAGCTGCACAGCTCAGGAAAATGGTATCCTGGGTCTGGGGCTTAGACACAGCTTCCCTGTCTTTACGGTTCTTAGGCGGGAAACGTCTGTGCATTTGTCTTGCTGAAAATGCATGTTTTTTAATAATATCTCTCTAAAACATCGTCTCATTCAATGTACGTTAGATTAGATTAAATGCATGTAAAGTACCTGATGGGATGTTTTAGTAGAGGCATCTGTTACTGTTATTGTCTTATTTCTGAATCAGAACATATATATGGGATGCTTATCAATCTCATCAGATTATACATGTGAAAGGACGCTTTGAGCTTAGGTAATGAGTAGTTTATTTTTAATTTGAATTTCTATGAAAATGTTTTTTAAAATGGAACAAAACTTGGTTCCTTAGAAAGAAATATGGTTCTGAAAACTGCCATTATCACCGAGTTACCTAGCAAGGTGAATGGCAGTGGGCTCTGGATGCAGCATTCGCCATCCAGTCAGATTAGTCAGATCCTCGATCAACACACCCATCAGCAGTCTCGGGGATCCAGCCTCAGGAAGAACAAGTGCGCCAGCCCCTGGCACAGTGCACCTGTCTCTGTCCAGATTCTTAACTGAAATCCCATCTTTTTACAATGTCTGCCACGGATCCTAAGCCTGCCCCCTTGAGGCCACTCAACACAACTCTCTCTCTTTGTCCTTGATCTTTTGGGAGAATTCATTAAAGTTCTCTGGAGCTGTCTCGGGGGTTGGATATTCCTTGTTCCCATGGGATGAGAGTCCCGTTTACCTCACGGCACACCTCTTGTGTTCACGCTTGGATTTGTTGATGGCTAAACTTAACATCCATGCCTGGAAAGACCTTAGAGCAAGTCATCAAACAATCAATTTGCAATCACCTTGGCAACTCTAAAGTAGAGCACAGCAACCAGCAAAGCTTTCCAAACAGCTGATTACACCAGGTGAATTTAATTTCCTGTTATGCTAGTGCTTTGTGAGAGACATGCTAATAAATTCTCCACGTCTCAGGGGCCTGGACAAAAGGAGAAGACTCTAGATTAAAGCTGGGGAGACTTCAGCTGACCACGTAAGGGATTCCTTGCTCTAAAAAGAATTGGTCCCTGAAAGGGGCTAAACTCTAGCAGCTTTTCTCAATGGACAGTTTGCAAGATGCTTAAACCCTATGGAAAACCTTTCAAGGGATGATTCTTATCAATTCTCCCAAGGGTGACACAAAACTAATATCCTCCTAGGGGTGAAAGAGAGGAATTAAGTCATTACACACCACAGACTGGATACCTCATGGGACATGCTTAATTCTCTTGCTGAATCTGAGACTGCTTGGGGTCTCCTTCAGATATGGGAATGAACAGTGTGTGATGATAAATGCTTGTGAAGTGACATCTGCATGTGATGGAAGCCATTTGGTGCAGAGGAGAGAGCAAGGGTGGAAGATTCGGAAACCTTGGTTCTAGTCCCAGAGCAGCTGTCCTGTTCTGGGTGACTTTAAACGAGTCACTTTCTGTCTTACAGCCTCAATCTGCATGTATGAGATGGGAAGCTCATCTTGGCTTGGTGACACCTAAGAACTCCCTAGTGTCACTGAACAAACTCGTCATGGGAAGGAAGCGCATTGAGGGGCATTGGGGAGATGAGTTCCTGACTGAAGAGCTACTGTGTTTTTGGCAAGCAAAAATTGCCAACATCCTACAAAACAACTTGATGATGGGTTTTTCCCCGTATTTTGCAATTCGCATGTCACCATCATTTCTGCTCTTCTGAGTAGCAGGTGTACTATGATTTACTGGATTATTGACTCATTTCTAAAACTCAAATACATTCGTTTTTTAAAAAATTTTTATATAACTGCCATTACCACACGCGAAAAACTGATGTCATTGACCATAAATAGAAAGTAACTATGAAAACAAAACAATACTAGTAAATTCGAGCTAGATTTTTTTTTTGTTGTTGCGTGCCAAAGTCCTGAGCCTGAGGCATCCTCTCCTTTTATTGAAAAGGAAGATTAGCAAGTGCTAGGGAGATACAGATGGGACTTTATTCATCTATTTTAAAAGA